CCAATCCCCCCCTCAGATCTCTCTAAATACCCACAACAGGGTCAACCTCATCCTGGGCACAGAGAGAACCGCTCCTGTCTGTGCTGCTGCCCTCCGAAGATGCCGGTCACAGGTGCTGGCGAAACGTTAGGAAACAAGACTTCAAGACCAGGCCGCACAGCCCGGAAGACCCACAGCAGCCATCGTACGCTGGCCGTGAAAGCCTTCGACAATGCAGTTAATCAGCTAGCTTTTGTGTTTAAGCTGACTCTGATTAAATGTACACCCGGTATACTTGTCAGTTCTATCAAAAGGTCCAGAGATTTCATGTGTAAGTTCCTCCCCTACATCTAGGGTAGAAGATGTGAGTTTAATCAGTCTCCTACCTTTCTTATGTGAATGGAAAATGCCGCCGAGAGAGACCTGCCAGAAAAAATGGAAAAATATTTAAATGCTAACTCTAGGAATGCAAAACAATTCATTAAAAGCATACTGAGTGGAAAAACTAGAAAAAGAAGAGAGTTGCTCTTGACGCGGAAGCACCAGAGAGAGAGCCTAATCAAGCAATAGGATAGGAAGGGACCCATTATTATAGGATGGGGAAACTATAACCCCAGAGAAAATCAGTTGAGCAGAATAGCTCAGAGAGGGATATCCATCTAAGTATAAAAATGCCCCGGAGAGGATCTCACCTGTTTGTAAATGGCCAGAGAGAGACTGATTGACCTGCTTGATTACCAAAAGCCTGTGCAAAGTGGGGCAGATACCAACCCCTAGGGTGCAACCAATAGGGCAGAGCATCCCCACTGAACAGACTAGCTCACTCTCACCTGAGTGGTGAAACCTTCCAGAGAGATTCCCATTAAGCAGAAAAGAGAATGGGGAATAGGAGGGCAAAATGCAAATCTCAAAAAGGCAAACAGGTGTGGAGCATGCTAGAGAAAACCCAGCTGAACAGAAAAGCTCAGAGAGAGAATAGGGAAAGAGACCCAGGTTTGTACAGAAGCACTTCCAAGAGTTCCAAGATTGGAAAAACCTGATCGTGACCAATGCAGCTCAGAGAAAAAACTGCTGCTGGAAAGGCCCAGGGGGACTGCAGTAGAGAAATGGAAGTGCAGACCTCCAAATATGAGGCCAGAGAAGAGGACGAGGGGAGAGCACTCCGGGGGAACCTGATGAGTGTGTCTGAGCCAGAATGTTTCTTTGCTGCTTGAGAGTGACGTGGCCTACACCAGTCTTAGTAAAGTGAAGCTACTAAGGTAAACATATCCTTGCCTAATGTAATCTCTTTGTACAGGACTGCTTTTCTACACTTTCAGGGCTAGAATGAACACACACACACAGACTGAGTGTGTGTGTGGAGTCCTTGGGGTTCTCTGAGCTGGGTTGTTTTCTTGCAAATGTTTCGTTACCCGGCTAGGTAACATCTTCAGTGCATCTTCAGATGTTACCTAGTTGGATAACGAAACGTTTGCAAGAAAACAACCCAACTCAGAGAACCCCAAGGAGTCCACAGTTCAAACCTGAGCTACACATATTCTCTT